CCTGATGTGGCCCTTAACAGCTGCAGGCCTCCCAGAGGCTACCTAGACTTCCCTCTCAGCCACAGTTTGGTTCAGCTTTCTTTCCAGGGATCCATGCATATAATACTGGGGGCGGGGGGGGGGGGGGGCAGGACTTTACCAATCCAGATGGTCACACCGATACTATAAGGAACTGACAACTATTCCCCCTACCCCCTTTCTCTGTTCTGATCCAGTAATATCCAGGGCATTTTGCTTTACCTAAGCAAAGGTAGCAAGTAATAATTAATAGCAGTATTTACTAATACTTGTGCCTTGTTTGTAAGGCAGCCTGTTATGCATGCATTTGGTTTAAAACTGTAGTGAATGGGTATGGGTTCTAATTTTAAAACTGATTATTTGCCTAGTGGTGCACAGAGCACTAGGGCTATATTATCCTGCTGAGCTTTGTGGTCGAGACAGGACCTGGCAGTGTGACCCTGTTCATGGCTGAAGTGTCTGTGTGCCAGTGGGTGGGCTCTTCCCCATGCTTCAGAGGCTAAGCTGAAACCCTCCAGGCCCTCTCTGCACAGCTCCATACTCCACCCTGTTTGTAGCCTCATCCTGATGCCAGTTTCTCCTAAACAGGGGGGAATGGTATCAAGCTCATCATGGAGTTTCTGCCTTCGGGAAGCCTAAAGGAGTATCTGCCAAAGAATAAGAACAAAATTAACCTCAAACAGCAGCTAAACTATGCCATCCAGATTTGTAAGGTAAAAACTCACAAACAGAAAGACTGCATGTTTAAAAAAAAAAAAAAAAAAAGCAAGCAAAACAGGCATGTACTGAATGTACTGGATAATTGGTTAGTAATTAGACCTCAGTAGGAGACTGTATTTTATTCCGCACCATTTACATGAAATATGAACCTGCACTATGCAAGTGAGTGGGTTTCTTAGGTCTAACAGCTTCAGTTTGAATAAAAAGTCCAATCTTAACAACAGAAACTGCTTGTGATACGGGAACAAAATGACTTGTTTTCTAATTGTGAAATGGAGGATAGAAAACACGTCTTAAGTGACCTTTGAAATGGCCCTGACCCACACTTCTCTCTTAGGGGATGGACTATCTGGGTTCGAGACAGTATGTTCATCGGGACTTAGCAGCAAGAAATGTCCTTGTCGAGAGTGAACACCAAGTGAAGATTGGAGACTTTGGTTTAACCAAAGCAATCGAAACCGATAAGGAGTACTACACAGTCAAGGATGACCGCGACAGCCCAGTGTTTTGGTATGTGAATCATCTCATCCCTGCCTTGTAGGCTGATACTGTTGAAGGGCTCCGTCTAGTCATGCTTGGGTGACCATACTCCGCTCTGCCAAAATCTGAGGTTTGCTAGTACCAGCTTTGCAAGAGTGGGAGAGGTCTGGCCATGAGCAGCTCACCCTCGGTAGCTTCCTGTGAGCAGCAGCACCCATCACAGTTCTCACAGCTGTGAGCAGGTGGAGGAGGCTGGCTCTTTCATAAAATGCATCCTTGTAGAAAGGCCTGGTAGGGTCACAGGGGTATACACTGGCCAGAGTTAAGCAGATGTGGAAGAGGGAAATTTGGCCAGGCTTTAGGAACCACACACAGACCATGATTCCCTCAGCTTACCCCCCCCCCCCAAACACTAGCTGTCTGTGCTCTACAGCTCACTCAGGTGCCCCATGCAGACACATAGCCCTCCACTTTTAAGAAGAATGCGTTTTAAGGCCCTTGTTTTCACCAAAGCTGGAGAAATGGTGGCCCAGTCAGGGAACCCCAGCAATGAGAACTGAAACCGATAAGGTTATTGGGCAGGTCTGTAGTGGGGGCTGAGTCCGCCGAGGCCAGGACTTCATACCAGTAGAAGCCACCAGAGTTGAAGGATAGAGAATTTGTGCTGAAGGTCACCATGGACAAAAAAGGAATAAGGGAATCTAGGTCAGCTGTTTCAGCAGCCCAGGTAGGAGCCACATGCCTGGGGAGTAGTGGTTGGGACAATGGCAAGAGGATTTGTTTGAAAGCTGTTCAGAAAACCAATTCTGGGATGCCTTGACACCTGGTATGGACCCCAAGCATCCTTCACCAACGGTGTGACACTGGGAAGATGCCGACTGTGAGCTTGTGGGGCTATAACCTGGGGTAGTCTTTACGGGACTGTTTGCTCCCCAGAATACTGTCTTCTGGGACATGAGGGACACACTATTTCATTTGAGGGCAGGTAACATGCTGTGAGCCTCTAGGCTGCAGCTGCATGTGTCAGATGTGCACTGTGGTAGCAGGATGGACTGGTACTTCATGTTCACCCAGATGCATGTGGCTCTAAAGTCTGAAAACCTCTCAAGTGGCTCTCCTGAGGTACTCTGTCAGATCTGGAGGAAATAAGGCTTACTCCCTGCTTTCCTTTCAGGTACGCCCCAGAATGTTTAATCCAGTGTAAATTTTACATAGCCTCTGACGTGTGGTCTTTTGGAGTGACACTGCATGAGCTGCTCACCTACTGTGACTCGGATTTCAGTCCCATGGCTGTAAGTGTTAACTGTCACCTTCACCTGAGGCCAGGCCCCAGTGGGAAGCGCCCGTTCTGCTGCTGAGTTTTGCTCTTAGTGGAGCACATTGGTGTGCCACACACAGGGGTTACAGCCATGTTCTTTTGGGCCTGTTTTGTCACTTGACAAGGTCTAGCAAAGTTTGCCTTCACCAGTGCAGAATTCTATAAGATGATCCAGATTTTTAGGGTGAGGGGCCATCTTGAGGGGATGATAGGCTTCGAGCATTGGGTAGGGGCTTTGTTTTCACTTAACTGATAGCTGTGGTTGGTCCCCACAGATGTCCATTACAGACTGATCCTCAAGAGCAAATAGGATTTTAGATTTTCATTTGAAGTTATTGAGGAGAGAGTTTGTTGCTTTAATTTCTAATTATTTCTGAGAGTTTCACCTTAATTTTGTTTGGTTGTATTTTACATAGTTGTTCCTGAAAATGATAGGCCCAACTCATGGCCAGATGACAGTAACACGGCTTGTGAATACTCTGAAAGAAGGAAAGCGCCTGCCATGTCCGCCCAACTGTCCTGATGAGGTAGCTGTGTCCCCTTCATGGAAATGAAACTTGTTTTTTAATGTTTTTACACCTTGGCTTATCCAGTGGGGAGGGGAGTGGTAGATAAGACCCTTGGGCTATGATGGAGAATAGGTTCTTGGTTATGAGTACTTGCTACTCTGTCAGAAGACTGTTTCCATCATCCCCATCAGACAAGACATTAGAGAAACTCCCATGGGGTAGATGATAGTGATACTCAAGTAAGTCTCCCCTCATAGAGCTGTCCCCTCCATCCCTTGCATGTCGGTCCACCTGCCTTCCCAGAACAGCATTTTAAGTTTTCTACATTCTAAACTGGATTGAGCCTTTCAGCCTTAGGCTCTTTAGATGGCCAGAGTGAGGTGCCATGATGGCAAAAGGGGTTATAGTTTAGAAAGGGGTTAAATTAGTCCTATTAAGTTTGAAAATGTTTGGAAACTGCCTTTATTTGATAATTCTGGGGGTGGAGTGGGTGTTTCTGTGTGGTATGCATGTTTTCAAATTGTGGGTGCTTGTGGATGCCAGAGATTGATGTTTGATTTTGTGTCCTCCTTGGCTGCTCTGAGGCAGGACCTCTCTGAAGCTAGTAGCCCTCTTGGATCCTGCTGGTCTAGCCTTTTTAATGTGTGTGTTGTGGCTCTGAACTGTGGGGGCCCCACACACTTTTGGGGGCATGTACTTCATCTGCTGAGCCATCTCTCCAGCCTCTGTTTCTTCAAAAATCTCACAAATCTGACATTATTTGTACTGTTTTATTTTCCATAGGTTTATCAGCTCATGAGAAAATGCTGGGAATTCCAACCATCTAATCGGACAACGTTTCAGAGCCTTATTGAAGGATTTGAAGCACTTTTAAAATAAGCATGAGTAACATTTAAATTCCCACTTATCAAGTCCTTCTCTCCCAAGCCATTTAAAAACTTTTTTTAATGAAAAAGTTTGTATTATGCCTAAAAAGCCACTCAACAAATACTTGAGTAAATGTATATGTCACATGAAAAATGTTGAAAACCAAACTAGAATGTGCCTAAGCACTCCTTTTGGAAAGATTATATGATCAGTTGCATAGCAAAGGACTTTTGGCGCTGTTTTGCTGGCAATATTGATCTTACATAAAAACTGGTGGACTTGGCTGAAACTCTCCCTTGCCCTTAATCTCAGTATCTATACAGTGATCGAGTAGGTACCATTTAGTATATACTATTTTGTTCCTATTTAAAAAAAAAAAAAAAAACATGAGTCTATTTCTGCTCCCCAGTAGGACTGCAATTTTGAGCTATTTGTGCAGAGGCCCAGCTGCTGTTCTCGTGGCTAAGCACCAGTGCCCATTGGGGACAAACTGGTTCTGCACAGGGAGCTAACCTGGCATAGACACTCTGCATGTTACTTGTTGAGAACTAGGCCTGTGCTCATGTTCTCCTGCACAGCCTGCTTTCCTCAGACAGACTCCTCCTGACCTGGATGCTATTCCACCTGCCTTTAAGAAATGTCAGTGCATACCCCCTCATGACCACCCCCTTGTGGGCAAGTTGTCACACAGTACTGCAAACAGAAGCCGATATCACCTACAAAGGTTAAGCACTGCTCTGACCATCTACCTATACTGCAAAACTACCAAGAGAAGACTCAAGCCCAGGGACACAACAGACTGGAGTTTAGAATTCACTAGGCAGTTCTCAGTAATCAATGATGTTCAGTTTCTGATCCAATGTGAACCACGAAGTTCTTCATGACCAACAGTTTGGCAAACTTATTATTAATGCTGTTTAATACTTGTTTGATATTTTCACCTTTTGAGCCCCTCCCCCCACAGAATTCAAGATCTCTTTAGTAGCAACTGTACAGTTGCCATTTGTCTAGTTGCTGTACATGTCAAACCTGTGGCCTGCTCTATATGCACTTTGTTTACTCTTTATACAAATAAACATACTAAAGACTTCACATGCACGTTTTTCTTTTATTATTAAGTCTGCATTTTGAAAGCATTTCTCAAACCATTAGCTAACATAGAAAAATAACAGCCTAGATTTCGGGGGGTGGCTGCAGTGCCATCTCTTGGGTTGCACGTCTGTTCGGTCCAGGGTTAATGGGCACAGGCTGGGATGGAGGAAGACCCAGCCCATGTGCCCTCTCAGTTCCTTCAGCTGCTTCCTCACTTTGCAGCTCCAGTGTAGCAGTCGCTACCCTCCCGATGTTCTGTTTGCACAAAGTAAAACTGTGACTAAGTGCTGAAGAGACGGAATGCAGCAGCAAAGGGAAGGGCTTCTCTATGCAGACTTGGAGGAACCATTAGTCTCTGCTATGTGCCTCGTCCTGGTTGGCTGTAGGTAGGATGCTTAAGACTGTCTTACTGTTTTTAGCTGTCATTTTTCATTGAAAGCTTGTATATGCAATAAATTAGGCCAAGTAAAATTCTTTGTAAAGTGTATAACATAACATATGTACCAGTTTTAGACTTTATAATTAATGCTGGATATTTATATCATAGTCAAAAATGGTAAGTCCCCCCCCCAAATAAGGTCTTCTAATGATCTGATCCTATAGAGTAGGACCACTGAGACCCCAGGCTCCATCAGCTGTAATCTCTTAACGAACAGACTGACTGCTAGATGGAAAGAGGGTTCTCTAACTCATTCCAAGGTCTTCGGAAAATGGTGAGGCCAAAACTCACATTAATAAGGACACATTCTTTCAGAAGGAACTTGGATTAAGTAGCTGTAATGAGTAAGAAACCAGACTGAGGTAGAGCTTTATTAGCTCAGAACTGTCCCATACACTGTCCGTGAACTCCGTGGACTCCCTCAGAAATGGCTGTGTGGATTACTGCCCAGTCACAACCTTGTCTAGATCTTCACTCGTGTGCTAGGAAACGGCACAGAAACCTTGGCTCCTTGCATGTACCAGTCTCTCAAAGGTTAGCCTACTAACCATAAGATAAAAGCAATAGGGAGACGGGTCAGCAAACCTTATGTATGAGGGACAGAGTAAATGTCCCAGGCTTTGCAGGCTCTGCGGTTCTCTGTTGAGGCTACTTGGTTCCTGTAGTGACACAAAAGTAACTATGTAATGAGCTTCACTGTGTTCCAAATAAAACCTTGGGGACACTAAAATTGCAGTTTCACGTTGTAAGTTCTCCCCTACCTACCCCAGGCATTTAGAAGTGGTTCATGGGTAGCACAAAACAAGTTGCTGACTACATGTGGCCTAGCATGTGCTGCGCCAACCCTTGTATAGGGTAACCGAAGTTACTTTTCCTGAAGTACGTTGTTTCCCACAAAAGGTATAATGGTAAACGACACCTTGGAAGTCAAGCATCTGAAGGGACATCACTCTCACTCTGTCACTGGGTTGGTACTTCATGGCAGGTGTAGAGGTAATGGAGTCTCCATGACAAGTGTGTGGCATCACCACTGCATGGGTGGGACCGGCACCCTTGCTGTTGGAGGAAAGGTCCTTAAAGACTGCAGATGAGATTATTCTTAGGGAGAGTAAGGTAAATGCACATTGGCTTATAAGAAATTCATTCTAAGGCTAAGGAAACAAAACACTGTTTCCCACTTATTGCTTCAGACTGTATGGTGTCAGATTGTTCCCAGGCCCGAAACAAGGACTATTGGAATGCTGATTCTCCAGTGAGCTGAGCTGTTATCACATGGATTAAGACACATCTAATGCTAGTGGAAAATGCCCTCAACCAATGATGTCTTTTATTGCTAGTTGGGTATTTGGCTGATCTGCCTGCTGCACGACGGTTCCTTCTGGGAAGTCAGACACCCGTATTGAAAGGATATGGCTAGTGTGAATGAAGTTAAGGCAGCGATGAGCAGCAGACACTGCGGAGGACTGCAGGAGGTGGGCAGGAGACGAGCTCAGTACACGCGCTTCTTTTTCAAGTAGGTTTCTGTGTAGCTCGCTCCTGTGTCCTGAGGGTGCTGGCCAGCGAGTTCTACTGGACCCCCTTCTGGGGCAGAGATGAGATAGGAGGAGCCTCGCTTCTCATTTCTCAAAGAGGACACCTGTAAGAATGTAAGGAAAGCATTCTGAGGTGGTGACGGCAGAACTGTAGACTACCAACACTGAAGGAATACAAAACGCCTCTGATACAGGAAATTAAACCTTCAGATCTTTATAGAAATCAGCTGAGGAGAGCTGGGGGCATGGTTCAGTTGAAGAGCAGCCTCCTAGCACGCAAGAGACAGGGTTCCATCCAGGTACCACAAGTCAGTCATGTCTAAGGCCTTTACAGACTACAAAGCAGACCTCTGAGCCCTCACCTCTGTCAGGGGACATGGGAGAAGGAGATGGCCTTGCTCACACCGGAGTCCAAAGAGCAACACCCAAGTGTCAGTGTTCCTGATGGAGGAGCTGGGCTCAAAAATGGACCTGTGCGTGGAATCCGCAGATCTGCCTAGCAACTGGGAACGACAACTGGCTGAGTGATATCAGGGAAAGTAAGAGTAAAGACAATAATGGGATCTCAAAACTTTGGTACCCCCAAATAATTGGACTTCCTGGCTTCTTTCCAGAGACTCTGATCCCGAAGGGGCCTGATGCTCCCCACGACAGACCATCGTGATCGGTATTGACAGAGCCAGTGACTGTTCCCCACACATAGCGTGAGGTGCTTGCTGAGGCAGTTCCACAACCCAGATGAACAGCTGATGGGGAACTGACAGCTCTTGAATGCTCTGGAGCTTTCTCACATGCAGTGTCTTTGAACTAGCATTTTTAAAACCTTAGGAAAGAGGCTGCTTTACAGGGGCAGGCTTTGTCCCTCTATCAGCCCATCAAGAAAAGGCTTATGGGTCGCCCAGTGGTACAGCAGTTGCCTTGGGTTTGACCCTGAAGGACAGTACTGGAAACCCAGCTCCCTGTTGGTACTTTTCTCACAACCCTGGTCAAAGGGATTATTCACAAAGTTGAACACTGATTCGAATTTGCTTGGAAATCATGGTGTGTGGGGTAGGGGCAAGGAGGAACACACATGAAACTAGACTGGTCTATTCAGGCTGACAGCTGCCAAAGCGTGCAGCTCTTCCCTGGCTGCCTCCCACTGAGCCTCAGCATCTCTCTCAGCATCTTTGTCCAAAGACACTTGCTGGTTGCTGGACCTTAGCCACGAACACAGCTAACCCTTCAGTGAGCTTCAACTTCTCTTTCTTCCTCTTCCAAACCATCAACCCATTCTCTAAGGTTTTCCCAAATACAGAGCATGATGCAAACAGCTCTCAGAGTGGGCAGAACTCTGCTGCCTGCATGCTGTATGCTAATCCAGGTTTCACCCTTTTTTGTAAAAGCGAGAGCCCAAACTATGCCCTTTCTATAGAGCATCCTTATTGTCTCAAACCAGGTAGACACTGGGTGTTTTCATTCAGAGAGTTCTGTATTATCCAGAGAACCAACTGAGATTGAAGAGGTGACCGTGAGTGTCAAGAGATGCACAGAAAGACATGAGTAGGAATGGGAAATGAAGAGCTGCATTGTGGCTTATACAGCAATGTGAGAAGAATAATTCTAATATGATACAAAGACGGCAGACTTTGTAAGGATTGGTGAACGGGAAGTAATAGTTGAGAGTTTTGAAGCAAAGCTTAGTACTAGGGAAAAAAGCCAGTTCACAACTTAAAAGGAGTAAGAAGAATAAAAAACAGCCACAAAGAGCACACGAAGCAACTTCGTGTTTTCTGTCCCCAGCATTCAGGCTTCCATCCCTTCACCACACCCTTCACCTCGAGGCCCTGAGCCTTGGGCTGTACTTAGAATGAAATGTACACATCAATTTCCCACACTTGTATCACAGGGCTTTCTTCAAACAGTGGAGAGAGGGTCCAGTGGGATGGCCCAATGGGAAAAGACACTTGCCGTCAAGACTCATGACATCTTAAAAAATGTCAAATGCATTTGAAGCAGAGCTATCGGGCCCAGGGATGCTGCACAGCTGCAGCTTTGGGAGGCAGTAGCTCACCCTGAAGATGCAGCGCACCCAGGTGCTTTGTATACGTTAGCTCATTTCAAGTTAGAACAACATCCCAGGGCAGCAGGGAATGTATGATGTAACCTGCTACCGCCTGTGTGCTGCAGAAACCTTCAATCCCAGCACTCGGGACAGAGGCAGGAGAATGAATTTATGGCTAGCCAGGGGTACATCTTGTCTCAACAAAACATTGTGGGCTGGAAAAATGGCTCCATGTTAAAAGCACTTACTGCTCATGCAGAGGACAGGGTTCAGCTCCCAGCAACCACAATAGTGACACACAATCGCCTCAGTCCAGCTCCAAGGGCTCTGATACTCTGTTCTGGCCTCCATAGGCCCCTGTATCTATGTGGTATATATACCTACAAGTAGTCTCTCTCTCTCTCTCTCTCTCTCTCTCTCTCTCTCTCTCTCTCTCTCTCACACACACACACACACACACACACACACAGTGTAACCTGCTGCTTTGGTGAAATTACACTGGGATGTACATTCTCCCCATCAAAATGCTTCCCACTTTAATCCCTTGGCCTCACCTCCTCTAAAGTATCACTGCCATCAGTGTGGACACTCAAGAAAATGTTCACCTTCAGCAGGGCCCTCCCCAGGGTGAGGAAAAATTGCCTCTTGTTCTCTCATGTTTCTTCCCAGGTTTCTGATCTTTGGAATCATACTTTTTAAGCACTGTGGTTGTGACTTCAGGAAGTCGCCTAGGGCTTGGGTAGTCCCGGGTGGAGTTGATCCCTTCTCCAGCGTCCCACAGGGGAACCCAGCATCTTTACTCTGGGATGTTTCATCTACTTCATCAAGATAATGAGATCCATAAGCGATGACTGCTGGGCTCCTCCTTTACTCTCCTTCCTCGTTGGTCTCAACCAACCACATCATTTGTAACAAACACAAATTCGGCAGTTCCCCCAAGTGTCGTCCCCACCCCACACATCCAGATTTGCATGATGACCAAACAGCAGTGAACATTATCCCAGTCCAGTCATGCAAACCCCTTCTATTCACATTCCTACCCGTCTGAGGCAGGGACAAGTCTGTCTTTCCGGGCCCCAAACCTTGTGCCATCCAAACTACCCTGCTTCCCCCATGTCCTCAAACGGCTCTGCTGCCAGCCAGCCATTATGCTCCAAACTCCATCCAGCATCAGTTTTATCTGCACGGCAACTGCTGCCTCAATGACCCTGCTATGTTCTGCAGTCACAGCTTAGAATACAACCCAATACCTTGGTGTAATAAGGTCCTAACATTGCTGTCTGCCCTGTCCCCACCCACTGTGACTTCCATGTTGCTCAGGCCTCTCCTGCCTAGGCAACTCTCCTCCTCTCTCTTTGTTCACACGGGAGGCTATTCCACGGGATAGCTGTGGGGTACACTATCTATAAAACTCATCTTTGCCCCAAAATTCACTTGCCAAGTCATTGTGCCACATTTAAAAAATCACCCAACAAGTCTCAGTGGCCACAAGCAATGAAAGGTACACACCTTAAGTTCATTGAATGAAGGAGTTTCCCTGAAAGGTCTACATGGGTCTTCATATATGTATGCTGTTGTTGCAGGCCATACAGCATGATGTGCTTTTGCACTGTTTTCCCACTAGGTGGCAGTATTAGGCTTTCTTAAGGAGAGACAGCCTCTGTCAAGCCTTTGTTCATTTTTGGGGTCTGTGCCCGCCCCAACTCATCATACATTCTGTGTCTGATTCCTTAGGCTGGGGAGCCAGCTTCCCGGCAGCAAAGATCCTGTAGCTAGGGAAACACAAGACTACAGCTTGCAGTGCAGAGGACTCCTGCCAGCGAGCCCGGTGGCTGTCAGCAAGCCAAGTGTGGAAAGAAACCCAAGTCACAGAAAATGGCGAAGGAATTCCTAAATTATCCCTCATATTACTGAAACTAGTGATTACATCATGCTGAAAAGTCACGGATAAGTATAGACCTATTTTTTTCTACTTGAGTAAAAAGGATCGATCACGAAGGAGTATTCTTTTCGTCAGATCATAATTATAGGTTACACTCAGGTATTAAATATTTAATAAGCTGGCCCAGTCTCCTGTAACATGGGCTTCTACCAGACATCTGATGTAGACAGACCAGTTTGTCTGAAATTTCAAACTGTACAGAAGATACTTCAGATTATAATGCAATTAGATTTTAAAATAACATCTTTAAGAATTCATTTTTCATAGTCCACTTCAAATACTTAAGACATGTTTAGAAAAAACTAGCTGTGTCTCAGTGGTGATTCTCATGATTATAACCAGGGAAATGGGGGAGGGGAGGCCATTTACAGTTGGCTTCTACTTAGCTCTAGACTGGAAATCAGTGACTTAACTTGGTTACTGGTACATACTTTGAAACCTCCAAAACACTAAGTAAATATGCATAGTATAGTTGAGGTTTGTTTCTAAAATGCCAGAGTCCGGAGGCTGGAGGGCTGGCTCAGTTAAGAGAGTATATACTGCTCTTGCAGAGAACCTAAGCTCAGTTCCCAGCACCAACACTGGACAGCTCACCTCTGCCCAGAACTCCAACTCCAGGAGATCCGACACACCCTTCCAGCCTTTGCTCACATGCACATACCCTGACACAGACGCACATGCAGATAATTTAAAACAAAACATTTAAACATGCCAAGAGTGCCATATTCTCTATGCACAAATCTGTGCTACTCCCCCAATCTAATTCTAGAGTATCCCGTCACTGTGCCAACAGCAGATTCTTCCTCTGCACCCCCCCCCCCCCAGCATTCATCTTATTCTGGGCATTTCACAAAAGTCATGAGCATGGTCTCTAGCTAACTTCACTCAGGGTGCTTTCAAGGCTAGTCTGCTGAACAATATTCTACTGTTCATTTGCTTGCTAACTGGTGGACAGCTGTGCTTTTCTCTGTTGGTTGTTAGTAGATAATCTGCCATAAACACCAGTCCATATACTGTCATGCATGTGGATATATTCAAATTCTCTTGAGCACATATCTAGGAGTGAAACTCTTGAGGTCAATAGGGATGGCCTTGTTGAAGGAAGTTGTGTCACTGTGGGGGGTGGGCTTTGAGGTTTTCCATGCTCAAGTTACAACCTAGTGTCTCCATCAACTTCCTGTTGCTACTCCTCCAGCACCAGGTCTGCCTGCACTCTGCCATGCTCCCCCTCTCATGATGACAATTGGACTGAACCTCTGGCAGTGTGAGCGAGCCACCCCAATTAAATGTTTTCTTTATGAGTTGCCATGGTCATGGCGTCTCTTCACAGCAATGGAAATTCTAAGTAAGACACTGTTAGCTTTTTCTCCTCTGGTGTGTACTTCCAGCTGCTTGGTGTATTACTGGTCCTCACAAGAGCATGCCCATTGCTTTCCAGTCTCTCTTCTTCCTGCTGCTTTATCAGTAGTCAATCTTTCTAGCCCTGTACTGTGCCCATCTAATGTAATTTTTAACATCACAAACAACTCCTGTCAGGTCTAGAATTATTCAGTTCTTTTCAAATGCATCCCTTTCTGAGATCCCCTATCTGTCCATGATGTCTTTCCATTGGTTATTACATTAAAACAAATGTGTGTAACAACTGGGCAGCATGGGTCTCTCTCTCCCTTGTGTAACTTTTAATTCTGTTTTATGTGTATGGATGTTCCGCCTGCGTGCATGTCTGTTTACTATATGTACTACTGGTGCCCATGGAGGTAAGAAACTGGTGTTGTTTCCCTGGCACTGCAGTTAAGAGATGGTCATCAGCCGCCACGTGGATTCTGGGAATCAAACGTAGGACCTCTGGAATAACAGCCCATGCTCTTAACTACTGAGCCCCCTCTCTCCAGTCCCAAGTTCCCAGTACTTTTTAATTCTTGGACACTGAGAATGAAAGGTGGGGATTCCATTATCTTCCTCTGGAGAGGATATTCTGTTCTACAAGTTAAATTTGCTACGCTCAAGTCCAGGCTCTCTCCTCTGCACTGGGCTTCACTGACCATCAGACTGTGGCTCCCCGCCAGGCCTCCTGGCGTGTCCCTCACAGCAGCAGTTCAGGGTCAGTCAATTGTGTTTGGATGCAGTTTCCATGATGACTTTGGGGCTCCTACCCATGTCATTTCCTGTTCCAGGGCCTCTCACTTCACAGCTTTGAGAACAGTCCTAAGGTTTACTCTGTATCTCTGTAGGCCAGCAAGACTACAGATTTTGCATAAAGGAATCAAGCAAAAAAGCTACAGAAGAAACATGGTTACCATCTAGGGGAATCCCCTCTGCCAGAAACTCCCTTCAGTTGCTCCTGGTTATTTGCCAATATTTTTAAACAGAAGCTACTTTTTTTTTTTTTCAAATCTACTCCAGATTTTTTCTTTTGTTTTGGTTTGTTGAGACAGGGTTTTTCTGTGTAACAGCCCTAGCTGTCCCAGAACTCACTCTGTAGACCAGGCTGGCCTTGGAACACTCCTGCCTATACCTCCCCAGTATCCACTCCAGATTTTAATCAGGAACTTCTACAGATAACTCCACAATCATTAGAATCACCAACTATCACATTCTTAAGTGTGATAGCTTTACTTAAAAGGGAAATTAAGTTATCCAGTATCTGACACAAGCATCTCTCCCAATCCTTCAGTAGAGTTTCTGGGAGCTACTACAGCAGCATGGACTTCGCAGCCTGAGAAATCATTCACAAACTGCAGGGATGTGGAGAAGTAATTACACTTTTGTGCTTTTCCACTTGGTACCATGAAGGGGATAGTTTAGCACTCACAGACACGGTAGAAAGATTAAATATTTACATAGTCTAATAGTATAACATGCATAAGACCCTAAGTACAATCCCTGCACTGTTTTTTAAAAAATGTTTAAAAATTGTGTTGGGATATAGCTCAAGAGTAGCATGCTTGCCTAACATACACAGAGCCTTTGGCTCAGTCCCTCGGTGATGATGATGATGATGATAAATGCTTACATTGTTTCCTGGTTAACTTTGTTGTTTGTTGTTTTGGTTGTTCGGTTTGTTTTTCCAGACATAGGTTCTCTGTGTAGTCTTGGCTGCCTTGGAACTCTCCCTGTATCAGGCTGGCCTGGAACTCAGAGAACTGCTTGCCTCTGCCTCCCAAGTACTGGGATTAAAGGTGTGGGCCACCAACTAACTGCCCAGCCTAGGTAGTTTTTCTTGTCAACTTGACAAAACCTAGAGTCACTTTGGGAAGAAGGAACCTCAATTGAGAAACTGCCTAGGTCAGATTGGCTGGCGGACAAGTCTGTAAGAGACTATCCTGACTGATGGTTAATGTGGGAGGGCCCAGTACTGTGGATGGCACCATCCGTAAGCAGGCGGGTCTGGGCTATATAAGGAAATCTAGCCCAGCAAGCCAAAGAGTGAGCACCGTTCCTCCACAGCTCCTGCTCCCAGGTCCCTCTGGCCTGACTTCCCTCAAGGATGGATTCTGATCTGAGGTACAGGCCAAGTAGACACTTTCCTCCCCGAGTTGCCTTTGGTCTTGGTAATTATCACAGTAACAGAAGAGCAAACTAGGACACATTGCAAAGGATGTGATAAGTGTTAAAAGTACAGAGATGTAAGGGTCCACCTGAGAATCTCTCCATGGGAGAGTAACCAGCTTGGTACAGGCCCTGCATGTTATCAGCTTCACAGCCACTATCTGAGAACTGAGTAGGCAGAGTCAAAGAAGACTAACTTCAAATGTCATACTCAGAGAAGCTTGGTACAGAAATTAACTTTTTTTAATGCTAAAAATACATACTTTCGTTAAATTCTTTAAAACTGTATTGTGTTTCTTCTGCTTTGAAAAGTAAACATTGTTCTATAAACTATATTTTGTGATTATTATTTTATCAATGGATTATGAAGATTTTAGCATATATTTACACATTCTTTCACATCATTGTAAATTTCCAAATTGTATTTACTGGTAAAAGCAACAAAAAACATAATTTGCTTACTCAGTCTTAGTTGAATATTTTGGTTGTTTCTAATTTGCACAACTATATATTATTTATAAATGACTATCTCCAATAAAGTAACTTTTGTCCCTTACATATAATCCATCTGCAGTGTGCATATCTGCGTCATTACTGAATACATTGACAAAGATGGACCCTCAGGAAGTGAGAATGTCTTCCTCATGACATCAGCTCTGACCCCCATTTTTAAATTAAGCAGGCCACTACCTCATCATATCAATTCATCTTCTGAACATAATTTAGAATACTCCACATTCATAGGTTCTGTAACCATGCATTTAATCAACAGCATGTTGGAAATACTAGAAAACTGCACCCACCCCAAAAACAAGAAGTTTTTTCCTTTGTCAGCATTCCCTAAGCAACAGTGTATTTACATAACATTTCCAATACATTAACTGTTGTTATGTAATCTAAAGAGGCTCAATGCATGAAGGAGATGTGCCCAGAAAGCCTGACACACAAGACACCATACACGTGAGATCTGAGCAACCACAGACTGAGAATATGACACCATACACGTGAGATCTGAGCATTCAGGCTGCACACATGACACCACACATACGAGATCTGAGCATCCACAGATTGCATATCCACAGAGCCCTGAAACAAACCTCCTATAGATTCTGAGGGTGGACCTTCTTTTATGCTATGTGACTTTTGGTATACAGCTGCGTGTGGTGGTGCACACAAGCCCAGAATTCCAGAGGCTGAGGCACTGTGAATTTAAGGCCAGCCTGGTCTACCAAACACCCTACTAAAGTTAATATAGGAATGCCTGTAAGTGTGAACATCTCCCTCTCTAAGCAATGATGAAAAATAGCGGGTGTTTCTCCCACTCCCTTGGGCTTCTAAGGTTTATACTCATGTAAAAAGAGGTTAGCATAATTTTTAGTAAAGAGTCAGGTAGTAAGTACTTAACCTTGTAAGTACTTAACCGTGTAAATCTGTTCTATTGTGTATGGTAGTACCATAGAAAATACGTAAACAAATTGATGTGGCTATGTCCAACCAAAAAAGCTGGATGTGGTCTAAGGGCTGTAGTTTGAAGTTGACTAGTAAAACTGTGAGGAAAATATTTTGTGTAAAATAGTATAAACAGTTTCTTGAACCTATTCCCAAATTTTAAATGATGAGCAAGAGATAATTATCCTGTGTTCTCACAGTGCTAAAGCAGTCACAATTTATCATGAGTATTCCTTCCCTGTTATCATGACCTGGGCATCATTTACCTGGGCATAATCCTCGAAAGCTGGAGAGTAAGTGATGCATTTCTCCAGTACGTGCTGGGACTCATTTCCCTGAGAGATTGCATCCAGAATGTTATTTGCAATTCCAGTCTTCTGTGGTGTGCCTTTACTTGCAGTGGCTAGAGACAAAAGAAAGACCATTCAGTGATTTGTTAAATTATAAACAGCGTAAAACACATTAACTCAGCCTGTTTCAATATGTTGCTAATATATATTTGTATTTATTTTCTCTAGGAGGAATTATGTATCACTTCATTTCAGCAACTGAAAATGGAAGCTTGCCATATAGGTAAAATAACTGTGATGGAAACCTCCAAATATATTTCTGTACTGAGAACTGAAACACAGCTTCTAGAATGTTAGGCAAGCACCACTGAACTATATACCCAACCCCATAGACAGATATTCTATCTACATCAGCGATTCTCAACCTTCCTAATGCTGTGACCCTTTAATATAGTGCCTGATGTTGTGGTGACCTCCAAACATGAAATTATTTCATTGCTACTATAATTTTGACTATAATTTTGTTACTGTTTTGAATTGTAACATAAATATCAGATATGTGACCCCAAAGGAGTCATGGCCCACAGGTTGAAAACCACTGGTCTACAATAAGGCATATAAAATGCAAATTAAACACCCTTATTAAGGCAATAGTTGTCACTGTCAATTTTCAGATGAGCTCAGTATCCTGCAGGAATGCTAAAAGAACACTCTTTCCTAGATTTGAAAAAATTGTAAATTAATGCTCAAGAGGATGCTTTATAAAATGCTAAAAATGTCCATTAAAAATTACACTAATCTTTAATCATTTCCTTGCAGTTTGGTTTCTCAGATTTACATTATGTGTTTGCACAAAGCCAGTGCCTGTTCGATCAGAGTTTTAAAAGCAGAACTGTATGTAATCTCGTGGCACTCATTTAGAGACTACTTCATAAGTGAGTGATGCAGACAAGTTCTATTATTATTGCTTTTTAAAGGCCACAGTCCCATTCTGTGTGTTCAGCTTCTTCCCTGCTGGACAGCATTAATGTGTTCTTTGGTTTTCCCATTACTGACGTGTTTTTAGGACTGTTGGATAAGAGTTGACTCACATCAATGAAGGCCTAATAGACTTTATTTCTGCTGATTGGCAGTCACGTGTCTAGGGTATTTGAATGCACTGGCTACATCTTTTAGAGGCTTTGGTCTCTAGTTTTGGACAATGATTATACCTACACTGTAAATGACTAGAGTGCTTCAAACAATTTGTTGCCTTCATCGTTTTGAATAATTGAATAAAATTATGTTGCCCTTAATGAAAATACTGTTGTAAAGATTTTTAAAAGTGTTTTAATTAAAAGAATAAAGTGTTTTAATTTTTATTCAAATAAAGGGATGATTGTTAAAGAACAGGTCTGTGACTTAGGGCTTAGGTTTGTCAGTAGGCATTGTGTCAACTGAGTTAAGATGAAAGTAAAAGTCATTACAGAATGTCTTCAGGAGACTTCACTGCTGATGCAGAGTCCTCACTTACATAGGCACACACTGGGCAACACACTGGCCAAATTCAAATACGGATTTGTACTGAGCCGAATTTCTTTTGGTGGTTCTCCCAAGAGTGAAGTCTGATTCTTAGAGGCAGCCTGTTCACCAAAAACAAAAGATGGGATGTTTAATGACTAGTATAGAAAGAATGAAGAGTGTCACAGTGCGTCACATACACATGGGGAAAGGTCACAACAAATCTTTCCCTCCCTACAACTAATACATGCTTATTTAAAATATTTACTAAGATGACAAGTGCAAAAAATTTGTCTTTCAACATATCTTGTATAGTGTGCTAATTTGTGGGCCTTGGCTGGGCATGGTGGCTCATGCCTTTAATCCCAGCACTCAGGGGAGAGAGGCAGGCAGATCTCTGTGAGTTCCAGGCCAGCCTGGTCTACATAGCAAGCTTCAGGATAGCCAGGACTACACAGAGAGACCCTGTATAAATAATCCCAGTTAAAAAAAAAATTAAGTAAATAGTACACTCTATCCACAGAATTCTACAAGTGGAATAGAACTCAAGGCATCTTGTATCTTCTCTTTTGATCTCAGAGAATTCATCTTCGCAAGAAAACACAAAACCAAAACAACTAATTCTCTGTCTTATTTCTTGAGATTCAGGTATAACATTACAAGATTTAAATTTTCCATTATGTGGCTAAAACCAAATGACACAAGTGAAGTTCATCTGTAGCCCTAAAGGTAATGCCAAGCCAGAGAGAGAGTGTGTGTTCATAAACTAACTCTCAGCTCAGAAGACAATGGTAGACGGACACTGGAAACAGACTCTACTAGTCTCATAAACTTATCAGGGGCGAAGACTCTAATACAATTAACAGAAAAGAATGGAATGGAGGGCTGAGCCTTCATCATGCTCCATAGTCTCCCCAGACACAGCTTACTATCTGCTCGCTGGTCAAAGGCTTTTAAAACCACAGTTCTGGTTAATATAGGTAAGACAAAGGGTAGCTTAGTTTTCTCTTCAAACTGCACAATGAAGAAAGTGCAATCCTGAGTGTTGATTTCTATATGAGAGAGCCATAGACCCTTATGTTCCTGATGCTTTCCTGGCCAATACTGCTGTGTGTCTGGACAGCAGAACCCATCTCAAGCATCTTTGGAAGCCTCAAGAAACCCAGGTTTGTTTGTATCACATCTATCACCTGGCCGTGTAGTCTTTCATTTGGTTTATGGTTGCTGAATAAATGCTTACTAACATCCAAACGAGTAGGAAATTCAGCGCTTAACAAATTCTCAGTAGCTCAAGAGAAGTCTTGACTGGAGCTGCAGCTTAGAAGATGTTGAAACCATCACAGTGGAGACAATCACCAAACACACGCAACTGACTGAGGTAGAACAATGCCCCATTTCAGGGACGGTAGGGACAGGAAAGGCAGCCAGGGGGTATCCAATTTCTCTGTGTGCTTCCTTGCCCTTGAACCTACCTCTGTGCCTTTTGGCTGGTTCTGCTGTGTCTTCTGGTGGCCCGTCAGTGTGCCTCCAGCAGGAAGGCCTGATAAGGTCTGCAGATACTGCTGCGACCCTGAGAAACTAGCTTCCGTGATGCCCGCTGAGGCTGACTGCTTCTCCTGAGTGGTCCCACGGCCCGGCCCGGCCTGTCCAGCACTGAGCTGGTGTGGGAAGAATGGCAACATGCCCAGCCCGGCCGCCAGTGTCGTTTGTGTTGGAATCAGATTAGATGCTGTAGTGAATGAACCACAGAGGCAAAAGAACCCAGGTTACACGAGACACGGTAACCCCTTCTGTACCTATCAGAGGACTGTGAAATCTAACAGGTGAGATCAGAGGTTAGGTTCACAAGAAAGCAAAAACTCACAGTAATAATGCTTTCAAATTTCAATAATTTCTAAGATAATCTCAGTAGTATATTTTAATAGTATATTTTAATTATTATTTTTAGAAGCTTGTGGCTCTTTTGACATTTCAATTATATAAGTACTTACAAATGTCCAATCATTACATATTGATTGCTTCCATATCTGAAGAGAGGAATTGTTTATTTAGCATTCGGCATTTCCTCAGTTAACGGTGGATTCGGCAGCAAGCCTGGTTAGCGCACCTCCACTAACTCTTGAGAGCTGGCTGCACCCATCTCTTCTCACCCTGAGCTCAGTGTCTTTATCCTGGCAACCTGACCTTGGCAGTGGCTCGTCTGAGGATTTACACATAGAAATCCACAAATACTAAAAACCGACACTCTTTTTAAGTGGAGAGATCTGGCTTTTAAACACGTGTGCCGCTGTTGTCCTTGAAGCCAATTCTGGGAACAGACAAGCACTAAATCAACAAGAATTATATATTCTTACTTACAGGAGGTAAAGTCCTGAAAAGAATGCAAGTTTTCATAAGAAAATTAGGGATTGCTTTTATCACTCAGGCTGTAAGTCAGGGCTGGTGAGCTGACACAGTCAAAGAAAGCAACTTGGCTGTGGGCAGTGTTTCAACCCCAAAACCTACAGGGGAGGGAGATCCAACTCCCACACCAAGTCCTGTGCATTCCACTCGCATGCCATAGCACACGTGTGCCCTGCCCCAACAAACAAACATGCATGCGTCAGCCGGGCATGGTTACAAGTATCTCCCAAATATTCAGGGGCTAAGGCAAGATCACATGAATTTATAAGATCAACACCAGCTGAGCAAAATAATGAGAACCTGTCTCAAAAAAAAAAAAAATTAAACACTTAATTTTGATGACTAAATTTCCATTTTATAGATTCACCAAACAGTTTTGTTAGCTGGTTGAGTACTTGCTTTAGCTCCTCTATCTTTTGGAATATATTTGTTTAGATAATGAATCTGCAGGGTTCTTAGGACAGCACAGGGGAACAGCAGACTGTGTGTATTACTTAACATGAACATGAGGAATGGACATTTTCATAGCCCTTAGTCAATCATACAAAGGAACTTCTTGGCAATTTAATCATTGCCTGGTCAATTTCAATCGTCAGAATCGACCAAGATATTTGGTCACGTGATTAGCCAACTGTATGTGTGAGAGACTAAATGTGTTACTTATGTTTATGGAACGTGAGTTACCATTGGTGGTGTTTTCCCTCTACATGCTCACATCTAACCCTTCACTCAAGCTTCTAACTGGAAGTACTTTTCTGAATTACAATAAAATAAGAAACCCTAGTATATTTATAGCTTTCTAAAAAGTGTTCGGCCCGTCTCATGCCCAGAGCACATATACCAGTTTTCTTTCAAGTAATAATTTGAAGACATAATTTAAAACTGGCTCAAGTCAAGGGGCCTTAAATTTGCAAACTCTAGCTATCCCTTTTCTAAGGGCTGGGCCTCCTTATTCGGAGCAATTGAAGCGAAGACCTGCGGCCTATGCTGTGAGCCCGGTGGGCAGCCTGTCGGCGTCAAATGGAAGCTGTGTCCTCACCTGGCGCTGCTGTGAACCTGCATGAAATATTAAAGCCCTTCCAGCAGGGGCCGTCTCATCCTGGCATGGAGGCGAGCCATTAACAACATATCAGACAAGGCAGCGGGGCTCTTGAGATTTTAAATGACCAAGATTTAAATTTAATCGTCACATAAATAAAAGAGGGAATATAGGTAAGCTATCTTCAAGTCTCAAAGCTGACTACATCAGGACTTCTTGGCAAATAGGGTCTTTACTTTTGTGTGCTTCTCCATGGTGTCCCAGGTCCGTTTTCAGTGGAAGCGGAGGCCCTATTGCCAGTGCGGGCTGCAGCACCATGGTGGGAGGCTCTCCCAGCAAGCCAGGCTTCTACAAAAGAAGGGGCGATGGGAGACGGTTTCCCATGGCAGGAAAGAAACAGACAGAGCCCAGTAAAGATGATGTGCGTGTGAAATTTCACCCCCACCTCCCCCCACCGTGGGCTGAGTCTATGGAAGGGTTGAAACACTTACATTATTAGTGTGGGCGTTATCAAACTTCAACTGCTGCTGTAGCAAAGGTAGGTGAGAAAGATTCTGAAGGAGTAAGGGTGCTGCACTACCCACAACCGAGCTCTGCGGAGTGAATGCGACAGGAAGTTAGTTACATCTGCAAGAACTATTAGTTGGACAATCAACTCACCTTAAAGTTCAATTCTCAAGTTAGTTTGAAAAAGAAAAAAGAAACCACATTTTAGCCAGGTGTGGTGGCACACACTCTTTATCCCAGCATTCAGGAGGCAGAGGCAGAGGCAGGTTGGTCTGAGTTCGAGGCCAGCCTGATCTACAGAGTGAGTAGCCAAGGCTTCACAGAGAAACTGTCTTGAAAAAAAAAAAAACACTTAATACAAATTATCTACTTTCAACCTCACGTAATAATTACCCAATACACAAGAGGTGACCAAGCAGTTTCAAGAAGGCACTGCGATGTACAGGAGCCCTGAATGATGGCAAAGATGTAGGAAATAAAGACGGTGTGGCGAATAAGAAATGTTCCTTAATTGGTGGCATGGTTTGGAACTGTTAGAAGGTGGCCCAGTGCTGGAGGAAGTCCCTAGAGTCGAGACTGGAGAGTTTATAGCCTCACTCCACTTCCTGTTCTCTGCTTCCTGTATCTCGATGGAATATGAGCTGCCAGCTTCCTGTTCCTGCCACCGTCCTCCTCTGACCACCGGTGCCACGCATTCCACGACAGGCAGGCTCTATCCCTTTGAACCCGTAAGCCAAAACAAACCCTTGTGCCCAAGTGGTATTACTCTATAGCAGCAGCAGAGTAACTGCAACTGCAGTGGGTGTGGGTGGGGCTCATTTCCTCCCTTCTCTCCCTTTAGAAAGCTGGCTCTATAGCCTGGAGTGGTGGCACACACCTTTGATCCCAGTGCCTGGGAGGTGGAAGCAGGTGGACTCTGAATTGGACGCCTGCCTAGGCTACTTAGCAAGACCCTGTCTCAAAATTAACAAAACGGCTATCTTTAGCACCACACATTTCTATAGGAGTGATAACATAACTGATTTGTGCATAGGTCTGTGTATCTTTAAATACATTCTTAAAATTAACAAATAGTTATGTCTAAGTGCGTATTTAAAACACTTGTATGAAAACATAAGAGAACTTATTCTTTGCTCTCACAAACATGAACTATTTTATAATACAGTAAAATTTAAAGGTTAGGGGTTATTGCTCATTTCTTTCAAAGTTTGTTTTAAGACTGTATAAAATGTTTTGTTTTAAAACTACTGCTTTAGGACTGGGAGATAATTCAATGGGTTAAGTGTTTGCTATGCAAGCATGAAGACCAGAGTTCAAATCCCACAAACCCATGGAAAAAAAAACCAAAAACCCCAGCCTGTGATCCCAGCATTCCTATGGGAAGATGGAAGGTGGAAAAGGGAGAACCCCCAGAAACCTGAGTCTGCTAGCCTGGAGTATGCTGCAGCAAACAGCGGATTCCCAGCCTCAAATAATAGATGGAAAGGACTGACACCCAAAGCTGTCCTCTACTGCCATATCCATGGCATACATTCCGCCTATCTTCCCTAACCCACCACACATACACAGAGGGAAAAAAAAAACTACTCATTTATTATCTAGCAAAAATTACCACAAAATAAGCATCTGTTCTTAATACTCTATAAGTGGGAATTGATAAGTTTACCTGTTTGCTGTTTTCATCAGAACTAGGTTACACATACTCATCTTGTGATCCTATGGAGCTATCCTTATTAAAGGATGTTCTCTGCCAGGTTCAGCTGCCCAGGCCTATAATTCCAGCTACTCGGGAGGCCGATATAGGATGATGACAAACTCAAGATCCACCTGTCTACAGTATGAGTTAAAAGGCCGGCCTCGGCAACTACAGTAAGACTATGTCAAAATACAAAGTTAAAATAAAAGCTAGGGATGTCAGTCATAAAGCACTTGGCAGCATCAATAAACTCTAGCACAATCCCTGGTACCACAAAGGATGGAGGGCAGGCAGGAACAATGCTTAGTTGACTTCTTGACAACGCCTGGCACATTTGTAATCTTGGTCCTTGGGAAAGAGAGTCAGGAGAATTAGGAGCTCACCGTCATCCTGGGCTACATAAGATCCTGTCTTGGGGTTGGGGGAGGTGAAGTATTCACTGGGAATCTTCAGTGTGTCAGTTCCTGAAGCTGTGTACAAACCTGTTGTGCTTTACTGAAGTGTAACAGCGCGGAGAGGGACGGACTCAGCAGATGAGACAAGCTGGGTGGGACTCCGAGAACTGCTTTGAGAAGATGAGAGTCAGTCCAAGGAAAACCGTGAGCACGTGACTTAAATTAAAAACACAGCATGCTGCCAAAGCATTCCTTTCACAACCTTTAATCTGCACAGGAAGTTTCGTCATCTACTGACTAAGAGTGACCGCTTTGTTCTTCGAGATTCAATCCTGGAAGATGCTTTAGAAGCCCAGCACTTTTTAAGTGTCAAGCACCAAACACAGGCTTGCCCGTTTCTAGCACTCAGCACAGCATGCTACTAACCAAGGCCTTGGTAATATGGCTCAGGGCCTTTATCCATGTGTAGGAGTGTTTTGCCTACACATACGTATATGTGCCATGTGAGTACCTGATGCCCAAGGAGGTCAGAAGAGTAGGATTCCCTGGAACAGAGTTTACCACCATGTGGGTGTTGGGAACCAAAGCCTGGCCCTCAGCAAAAACGAAGGCTCTTAATCACCAAGCCATTTCTCCAGTCTCTAATTTCTTCTCAGGGGGTATTTAGGAGAATTTTGTCAGAAGGTAGGGCAAGGGTCAAGATGCAACCATCATCTGTGAGAACCTTATGAAAAATCCTTTACAGAAGATTATATGTGCAGAAAGTCTTACGTCATAAAAACTAAAAAGATGCAACCTAATTACACATAATAGGGCAGAGTGACGCATGTCTTGAATTCTAGCACTCAGAGGCAGAGCCAGGCAGATCTGAGAATTTGAGGCCAGTCCTGTCTACCCAGCAAGTTCCAGCCCAGCCAGAAACACACAGTGAGACTCTGTTTCCAAAGAAACAAACTATACATAGAAATATGAGGAATAAAGGGTAGCTACACTCTTAATTCTGAGTTCAAATACCACATACATCTCAGAAGAGATATTTTCAGAATAGATAACATACAGAGAAAAAAGAATCATAAAATAGAAAACAAGATTAATTTCATTTAACACACACACACAATCACAAAAAAAAAAAACAAAACAAAAAAAAAAAAAAAAAAAAAAACAAGTGTTCAGAAAAGGTCCTGACAATAGCTTTTCATACTGTGCATGCAACAGAACACACACTAAGTCATGCCTGTATTCCCAATAGGTAGTGAGAGTCCGTATCCAAGAACAAGAACAGCAGCACACCAAGTTACCATGTACCTAACCACTCTACAGAAAGGCTCAAATTAAAAAGTACCATACACAACAGTGAGTCCGGGCGCTGAGCAAACTGCCGTCTATAACTTAAATGTACACCTGCCTCGTGGCTCAAACCTACAACCAGTCATTTACCCAAGGTCATAAAAGTCTACGTGTAAATAAGAACAAGTCCTCATTGCAACTTTACCTCAGTTTGGAAAGGACCTAAATGTTCACGGGGTCTGCGAAAGAGGTCTGGGGATGCAGTTCAGCTGTGCAGTGCAGACTTGGATCACTCCCCCACTACCCACCCACTGCCCAAGGAAATGTGAAAGTACAACTGGCATGTATCCTCTAGCTTGGCCTGTGCCCACTGAAGTGGAGATTTCATCTTCTTCCCCAGCCAGCCCAAACAAAGACAAAGCCAGGCACAAGAAAAATGTCTCCATCTGTGTATAAATAGTAAAGCATCTTAAACCAGAAACAGTTAACTGTAAACGTAAACTTTTTTTTTTTTTTTTTTAAGCATACTCCTGGGACTGGAGAGATGGCTTGGTGGTGGAAGACAGCTGTTGCAGAGGACCAGAGTTTGATTCCCAGCACCCACATCAGGTGGTTCACAGCTGCCTGTAACTCCAGCTCCAGGGATCTGGGTTTATGTACACATACTCATCCCCTATAAAAATAATTTTTAAGTTAAAAAGTCAAATCGAACCTAAAAAGTGAAACCAAACCACCTTCCTAATGATCGCAAACCAATCCAAACAGAAAAGTGGAGTGGAGATAGCTAGTGTGGATGAAGGGACAGAGAAATAATCCTGGGCAGAGTTATCAAAGGTGTGGGCCTGTTAGCACAGCATGTGTCTTTAAACACTAGAGCAATCGTGGGGAAATGCCGTGGTAACTGAACAAAGGACTACTGCACTGTGCAATCAATAACCAAGAGGAAGGAGGCTGTGTCTGAGAACACCATGATTTAGGACAAACAGACAATCTAGAGGTAATGCAATGGGGTGTGTATGTGCGTGCATTTCCCATACAGTGAAAACTGCCATGAAAGTTCCAATTCCTAAAAAGTCCCTGTATGGCTGGAAAAAGATGCTCCCCGAAGCTATTGAGTGATTAATTAAAAATCTTGAATGCCAAGGCTGAGGTACCTCCCTGTGCTGGTTAGGAATTTTTTTTTTTTTTTTTGTCAACCTGACACAAATTGGAATCATGTGGGAGAGACTCTCAAATGAGAAAGTGTTTCCATTAGACTGTCCTATTCGAAAGCCCGTAGGACTTTTTCTTGATCAATGATTGATGTGGGAGGGCCCAACCTAATGTGGGCAGCGCCATCTCTGGGCAGGTGGTACCGAATTATGTGAAGAAGTGAGCTGAGAAGGTGAGCAAACCAGTAAGCACGTCCCTCCGTGGCCCCTGCCCGCGCTCCTCCGCGGCCCCTGCCCGCGCTCCTCCATGGTCCCTGCCTGTGCTTCTCCGTGGTCCCTCCATAGCCCCTACCACGCTCCAACGTGGTCCCTCCGTGGCCCCTGCCCCTCCGTGGCCCCTGCCCGCGCTCCTCTATGGTCCCTCTGTGACCCCTACCCACGCTCCTCTATGGCCCCTGCCTGTGGGAGGAGCCCCTGCCTGTGCTCCAGCGTGGTCCCTCTGTGGCCCCTGCCTGTGCTCCTCTGTGGTTCCTGCCTGTGCTCCTCTGTGGTCCCTCTGTGGCCCCTGCCCGTGCTCCTCTGTGGTCCCTCCATGGCCGCCGCCCATGGTCCTCCATGGTCCCTCCGTGGCCCCTGCCCGTGCTCCTCTGTGGTCCCTCTGTGGTCCCTGCCCATGTTCTTCCGTGGCCCTTGCCTGTGCTCCTCCATGGTCCCTGCCTGCCCTCACTCCTCCGTGGTCCCTACCTCTGCTGCTGCTTGAGTTCCCACCTTGACTTCCCTCAATGATGAGTGGGACCTATCAAACCTTTCCTCCCCAAGTTGCTTTTGGTCACTGTGTTTATCCCAACAATGGAATGAAAACTGTATATACCACATATCCTGGATGCAGGACATAAAGAAAGCCAAGCTAGAACTGAGCTGCAGCTTTGCCCTGCTGCTGGTTTTCACAGTTCTGAAAAGAGCCATGCAGGCTGCTGGGGGAGAGAAGGAATCAATAGTCTTACCCAGATGTGAGCTACAAGACCAACCTGGCAGGCAAGACATGCCTTGTGCCACAGTAGCAACCAAAAGGTCTGACTGGATCCAAGACTTGATCCATGGGAAGGAATCCATGCCTGATTCTATACACCTGGTCAAAAACGAGCCCCCCTAGAATGGGAACTGAGTATTGTTTTGTTTTGTTTTAGCAAACTGACAGTGTCAAGCTACCCCCTAGGTACTTATGCTTGTAGCCACAGGAAAGCGCTGCTCTCAACCTTCATTAGAGAAACCTCCCCTTCAAGTGAATGGTGGTGAGTGCCATGCAGAGACTCATGGCCCCACAAGGTGTAGAGAATAAGTAACTGACCAGAGCTCAGCCCTAAACAAGATATTTATACCATCCACCTAAAGCTCAGGGAACACTGTGAGGAAAAGAGGAGAAAGAATGTAACAGCCAGAAGACAGAATAGGGCTGTGACATGTCATCTCCTGGCTAAGACACGGTCATTACAATTAATCTCAAAGCAGCTGTAGATGCCTGCACTGGGTCGGCACAAGATTAACCACTAACAGTCAGGCGTGGATAGAAGATAGGGGTAGAGAGGGTAGGGAGGGCCTCTGAGCCCATCAGATGGACTGTTTGCTACTGATCAATTCAGGAAGGAGATTTGTTGGCTTAAGCTCTGTAGCCACTGGTTACCCCACCAGGCTCCGATGGATAAAGTCTCAATCCAATGGTCTCATGGGTGCCCCGATTAAACTAAATGGATCATAAAGCAAGACCAAAAATCATGCGTGTAAGAAAAGGATGGTATAGATGGAATTGTTTGTGATGGGGGTGGGTGTCTAACGGAAGCAAAGGGCAATCAGAATACTTTATATACACAGATGAAATTGTCAACAATTAAAAAAAACCAAAATCCCACACCAATAACATGCTGGAGAGTGTCAGGGCCTGGCTGCAGAAGAGCCAGTATACCAAGTGCCTTCATTTGCCTATTCCTTCTAGGTTCTTTCTAGTGAAATTATAATCATAAATATGAAATTGTCCAGAATTTTACAAGACATTCAAGAAAATTACCAAACTGAAGGGTCTTGGCAACTCCCAAATTTGTATAGCTCATCGGTCAGAAGTTCAGGTAGCCTAGAGAACCTTTAACTTGTAGCCAGGGACTTAAATGGGACAGTCACACAGAGGCTGTGCCCTTAATCTGTAGGTCTGTGTTGCTCAGTGTGGGAGCCGGCATCGGGTCAGTTGGGAATGAACTGGAATAAACAAAAGCTGAGTATGCTTACACCAAATATATTTACTCTAGACCTCAGCATTTCCTCATAATGCTAACATAGAAATCCTGTGTACACAGAGTTGTTTGTTTCAGAGGAAATAGCAGGAAAAGAATACCGAACAGTTTGACAGTCAAAATTCAGTGACAATATACAGATCTGGGTAATTAGAGGACAATGAGTCTGTCATCTGGTTCAAAGGGAAACTACTCTGTTCTTTACAACAGAGAAAGATGAACGCAAAAAAAAACAAATCAGCATATTCTACAAGGTAAGCCCGCTAAAATGATTACAGAGAAATGCTCCATGCTCTCTGGTTCATCCAGACAATGGAGTGAGTAGAGGCGTGCCATTATTACCAGGTTTAGATGTTCATCGCAGCAAGGCTTAACTGAGGGTTGAGTATCTTAACATTTGCTAATGGTACAGAAAATGGAAGCACAAAAGTAGACTGTACCTATGAAACAGCCGAGACGTAATACCATCTCAGACAACCAGTTCACGATCATAACTAGTTCTCAGAAGAGAGACAAACAAGCCTGAGTGCGCCTTTACCTGTAGTGCACGTCTTACATTTTGTGTATAGTGCAGCACGAGCGATTTCATGCCGACATCTGCTCTCAAGCAGGATGTGTGGCGCTCACCTGGTTTAGCTGCTCGTCCGCACAGCTGGGGTTGCAGAAGGACTTGCAACATGGCAGGGTTGTTCAAACTTTTCATAATCTGGACCGGGTTTGGCTCTGGCAGTAGTCCCTTTTGACTGCTGTTCATCTTCATCGTGGCAGAAACACACATCAGAAGGAGCATTAGTGGAAAAAAAAAAAAAAAAGAAAGAAAGAAAGAAAAGACAAAAGCCCCAAAGGGCTCCCCCTGCCTAGGAAGGAATCTAAGACTTGCTTTCTGACAAACATACTTGCTTTGTATCGTGAACTTCTGGTGAGCTTTCTCCCACGGCTCTCAACTACAATGTTACATATCCTATCACACACAGGACGCAGGGTCCTCATCTAACACCTGTCCAATGCCAGCAGGCTTCAAATGAACTAACAGTTTAATAGAACAAGTCTGACTTAAAAAACACAAACCAAACACCGACAAGGAGATATGAGTTTCCTAGCAAAGCAGCGACTTGCTGACACAATGTCAGTACTCCCGCACTACAGGAAGCCTTATTAGTCTGTTGTTCCAAAGCAAGAGAGTGCAAGCTGAATTTCAAACACAATTTTCTTTTTCTGAAAGTTTATTTCCTTCACTTAACTCTCTAGTGTGAAACAAAGATGAACCAAGCTGCATAGCTACCTAAAAACATGACTTAGTTTTTCGTTTTAAAAAAATATCCTGACAGGTGAGAAGATGCTCAGTAGTAAAGTGCATGCCACACCCATGAGAGAGGGACTGGAGTGCAGAACCCCTAGAACCTGTAGGACAAAAGCTGGGTGGGGCCAGAGAGGTGGCTTAGCAAATAATGGCGCTTGTAGCCATGACTGATAACCTGAGTTTGGTCCCTAAGACCCACGTGGTAGCCAGAACTAGCTCACCAAAATGGTCCTCTAACCTATAACATACAGTGGCATGCACAAACCCCCATACGAACAAACACAGACTCTCTGTCTCGATGAATGAATGAACGAATAATGAACTAATGTAATAGTAAAAGCCAGGTGAGCGTGCTGCCTGCCTGTTCTAGCACAGGGGAGGTAAAGCAACCTGGCTAGCCAGACTAGCCGAATGGCTGAGCTCTGGGTTCAAGTGTGAGATCATGCCTCCATACTAAGGCAGAGAGTGATCAGGGAAGACACCAGACAGTAACCTCAGGTTTCCACACATGAGCAGGTATACCTTCACACATATGTGAACGCATGTAAGACACATGAGTACCATGCATACATATGCAAAAGAAAGCCATATATGTGGAATTCATTATAGGAACAATGAGTATCGAAAGAAAGGGGGAGAAGAAAGGGAGGGAGGAAGACAAGGAGGGAGGGAAGAAGAGAGGGAGGAAAAGGAAGGATGAACTAACTACAAAAAAAAAAAAAAAAAGAATTGACAAGGACAATTAGGTTCCTCTCCTAACACTGATTCTATAAAACTAAGAGGGAAAGAAATACGGACTCAGGAAGCAGGCATAGGGCTGCCAAGAAGCCCTGTCGGGAAAGGTGTGCAGGCAGACATGTGCAGTGAGCAAGAAAGCCTGGGTCCACAAGAGAGTTCCCAGAGGACTTTGGCGGCAGCAGAAGCTATACGAAAGAGAGTGGCCTGGGCCAAAGAACCAAAGGGTTAGCGGCAGGTGGTGTGTGCACATGGAAGAGGGCAGACCAGATAGCGTCGGTCCGGGCAGGACACTGGTCACTGGCCGCCTCCTTTCCATCTACCAGCCTTCTCAGCTTCTTGTGCCCACAACTACAGTGAGGTATCACAACTGAGGAAAATAAAGCCTAGAAAACACAGGCCTGGATGCAAGATGCAGAGACAGGCACTCGAGGCAGTGTGACCAGTGTAGTAGGGAAAGCCCATCGGACAGCAGGCCAGAGTTCTCCCCACTTGTCTACCCTAAATCCTACTAAAGACCAGGCTTTCCTTCCCTCTAGTCTTCCCATCATCCCTTTCCCTATCAAATTCTTATGGAGGGTGTGTGCGCGTGTGTATATGTATGCATGGTGTGTGTGTGTGTGCGCGCGCGCATGGGGTGTGTGTGTGTGTGCATGTGTGGTATGTGTTGGTGTGTGTATGTGTGTGGTGTGTTTATGTGTTATGCATGTGTATACATGGGGTGTGTGTGTACGGGGACTTACCCCAGGGCTTTTGAGCAGCACAACACTCAACCATTGAGCTGTACTCCATCCCTTTCAATAACCTATAAACACTGGCACACAAGGAAGCTGGCCCCCCCCCCGAAAAATGTATTCAAAGAGAACAATAATTCGACATCTGGAGACTAGAGCTGCTCAAACAAAGGCAACAGGCTGGACTATCTGTGCAGTGAGAGAAAGGAGAGGCAACAGACAAGAAACTAAGAACGCCAACAGGACGGATGTCCCAGTAAAGATAAGTACCCGTAAAAGAGCAGTGGTTTTTGTTTGTTTTTTTTTTTTTTTTTTTTTTTTTTTACAGGTAACATGAGCAAAGACATTTAGTTATAAAGGTCCAGGAGAAATGCTGGCATGAAGAAAGAAAAAAGCTATGAAGAGAAAACCAACCCCTGCTTACTATAAATAGTATTGCTCCAAATGCATCACGTGGATTAGGTCCCAAACTGCCAAAAGCAAGTCCATAAACTGGCGTGGATATTCCTATCCTATACACAAAAGTTTCAGAAGCCCACAGAGCGCTCCTCTTGGTCATATCTGTGCTTTAACAGGAGAGTTAGCGAGTAAGACGTATACGATTCAAAACAAAATTGGTGACCAAAAAGATCAGGCTGAAGAGTCAGAAAATGCAAACAAAATTCGCAAGAGCAAAGTGAGGGTGACAGGGACACAGGCCAAGGACCAGAGCATGTTCAACAGGAGCCCCTGCAGAAGAGTAAGAGCTGAGAGGCAACTTTGGAAAACAATGGTTGAGAAATGTGCATTATTAAAGAGCACAGAAACAACAATCAACCACCTGGTATCCCAGACATGCCACTGAAGAAATCACACATCCACTCATAGCTCTGTCATAAAAATGTATAAACACCAAAGAAAAAAATCAAAAAGAAAACAAGGCTATTAAAAGCTTCCGGTGAGAACATGCCTCCTAAGGAGCGAGGAGAGCCCGCTACAACCAACGTCTTCCCCAGACTAGGGGACAAGGAGTTAGTATTTCCAATGTGTTGTGGGAAAAGCCTCCGAAGACAGACTTTTACAGGCAGGCTACTGCTTGAGAAGGAAGAAAACTGTGCCCAGCTGCCCGAGTTCTGAAAAGTTTTCTACCCCATGAATTTTCCCAAATTCAAAACTCCCTGGGAGGAAACCCTGCCCTGAGAAAACGGGCAAATAAATGCAAGAGCGCTGTGTTACATGTGGGAGTTGAAGCGAACTATGGTAACTGTCTAATAACCAGGCCCATGGCACAGAAAAGTATTCAGGATAATTTGAAAGGGGAGAATTGGATGTAATTATCATGGTGAGTAGGGTAGGAAGGACGAAAAGAATGGTGGTGAATGAGTTAAGTGGAAAGACTAAGGAAAAGGTGTTGATGAGTTAGGGACACCCCCAAGTAGGAAATGCAGCCTGGGAGGATTACTCGCCTATTAAAATCACTTCACAAAACCCTGAAGACCTGAGTTCGGACCCCAGATCCCACATAAAAAGCTGAATTCGGCCTGGTATAGACGGGTGGTAGAGATAGGAGAATTGGCCAGAACACACAGGCCACCTCGCCTAGAATACACAGCACGGTGGCAGCAACAGTAAAGACTGCCTTTGAGGCAAGCTGGAAGGAGAAAAGTTGACCTCTGACCTCTACTGCCCACGAAGGCATTAAGAGTGACATTGCTCTCTTACCACCTGAGCTCTCTTAAAACATATGGGGAAGATGGAGGACTATGTTAAGAGCACTGGCTGCTCTCCCAGAGGACCCGGGTTCGAGCCCTAGCACCCACATGGCAGTGCACAAAAGCCCGAAATTCCAGGGGACCTGATGCCCTCTTCCGGCCTTCATAAGCACTGCACACATGTGATGCACAGACGTACAGCAGACAAAACACCTATACACACACACACACACAAGTTTTTAAAAAAAAAAAAAAAAAAATTGCCAGGCAGTGGCGACCCATGCCTTTAATCCCAGCAATCCAGAAGCAGAGGCAGGTGGATCTCTCCAAGTGTGAAGCCAGCCTGGTCTATGTAATGAGTTTCCAGACAGACAGGGATAGTGAGACCCTGTCTTGAAAAACAAAACAAACAACAAAAATAGAAAAGAAATTAAAACATAAAATGTATAGCAGGCAAGTTCACATCTACCCAACAGTTATAAATATGAAGAAAAAGAAGGCAAAAGGTTTAGTTCAAGTGTAAGGGAACAAAAAAGCAATACATGCACTAACAGGTGTTTAAAATGCACCAATAAAAAGACATAACTTTCATATATGAGTCTTTAAAAATAGTAGTTACAAGACATACACATGAAAGGACACACAGAAAAGGGCAGAGATGGAGGGATAGCAATTGCAAACCAAAGGAAGCCGAAGGAACCAGGTAACATCAGAAGGGAACCCTTTCCAAGACACATATACTGATAAAACAATCAGAACGACTATCAACAGAGACCCATCTAAGAACACACTCTAAGTCTGGAGCAAAAACTACAGAATACATAGGAATGGGAGGACTGGCCCTTATAGAGAAAACCTTTCTGCTCTAAGACATTAACAGATGAAGAGAAAAAAGTAAAGGTGAAGAAGGGATAACTAGTGGTAAGACCAAACTAGATCCCTATGCATGTGTGCTCATGTGTGCATAAGAGTTTAGATCCCTCAAGGGCAGCACACAGGCCATTTCCAAGCACACATGGCACACTTAGAAATCGGCCACATAAGACACGAAGCTCACATCATTGCCTTACCTCCAGAGCACAGATTAAGTTTTGCAACCATAAAACAAACCCCCCCCCAACAAAAAAATAACTTCTGAAAATCTGTGGCAACATAGCAGGCTAGAGGCAGACCATGACTGCATTGCACAAGGAATATACAGAGAAGAAAAAGCAGATCCAGGAACAACAGAAGCCTCATCTTACAGGTACAACAGAGGGCCTGAATGAAGAGATACTGGCAGTCCTACCCACAG